ATTTTTTAGACTATAATTAATATAAAAAAATTCTAAAAAAAAATAATAATAATCAAAACTTGTGAAAAAAGTGTTTTCTTGACACTTTTTCCTCATTTTTTTTATATTTTATTCAAACTAAGTGAGGCGTTAGGTACACATGTTGGATATAGTTATATAGCCCTATCTGTCCTCTAAAAAACAATATGTGTGGGTACATTTAATAAGAAAGTATATTACTGCCATGGAAGAATCACACAGCAAAAATTTAAAAAGTGTCTTTTATTTATGACCAGAAACTGAAAACAAGCTCAGTCATGAAGGGGTTAATTGAATGCTTTGGGACCACAGTTCAGCTTTAAAGGATAAGTTTGCCTTTTGCAGAAATTAAAGAAATGCATATTGATTAATATAAAAACAAATATGCATTTCTTTAATATTTGCATTCAAGCCGGGAAAGCATTGCAATTGTGAACACTCGATCACAGCTGCAAAGCTCAGGCTTCTGAACATTCTCTCTCAGGCAGAGCTTCATACTAAGGTACGGAGTTTCAGTTGGAGATGGTTGAAGGACGGCTGGACTTCAAACTGCATTAAATCACCTCATACGGCGTCCCTCTAGGTAGATGTAGGAATATGGGCAGCTCTACCAAGAGCGAGAACGGCTGGACGCTGTATGAGTCGATTTAATGCAGTTTGAAGTCCAGCCAACCTCCTCCCCATCTCTCCTAACACTACCTCAGTACGAGCTCTGCGTGGGAGAGAATGTGCAGGAGCCCGAGCTTTGCAGCTGTGGTCGAGTGATTGCAATGCTTTGCAAGCTTGAATGCAAATATTAAAGAAATGCACATTTTTAGATAGATTATTATGCATTGCTTTAATTTTTGCAAAAGGTGAACTTCTCCTTTAATGATGGCAATCGTTAACCCTTTCCGATGCGTTCCAGTGCATTTTTTTCCCTAAGGTCTAAATTGACTTTCTAGTGCAGTCTAATGAATTTGCAGGCATTTTGGTGCTTCGCAGAGCAGAGAAAATAGTGCACGCCATATTTTTGTTGTTTGGAACTGAACAGAGCAGAATTTTTTTTTTCTGGTAGAGACATTATGTGAATGGGTCCTAAAACAAGCCATTCCGGATTTCTCTAGCAGCATGTATGTGAAGAAATTCATCCTCACAGGTCACAACAGATTTTGAAGTTGGTTTACCAGAGAAAAGAAGGGTGGAGACCTGAGATTTCAGCACCTCTGTTGTCAACTACAAAGCTGAATTTCCACTCAATGTCTCTAGCTACAGAGGTAAATTAGGGCTTATTTGAACACGCTTTTACAGACTAGGCAAATACTAGAATGCACAGCCTGGGAACAAGTGCGCTAAGATTGCAATAAGCACAGAAAGGATTTGACTTAAAAAAAAACAAAAAACTTTATTAAGTGTTCTATTTCCTCAGACAATTACAGTATTAAACAGAGGAACACTGCCATCTAATCAGATGCAGCAGTGCCGTCCGTCCGTTTTTTTACTACAGGCGGACGGCAAGAGGTTAAAGTGTAATTGAAGCCAAAACTTTTTTTTTTTGCCATTTTGGATATAACTTTTTTTTTTTTATGGTCTGTGTCCCATCGTCTTCCAGACACAAAAGGAAGAAAGAAGAAATCTCGTTAAAATAAGGGAAGTCCTCTTTAGTACACAATTGTCACCAGAACACGTGTCCCTGGTAGAATTTGTCTGATTCCTGTTCTGGTGACAATTCAAAATGTTGGATTTCTCATTATTTTGCAGTCCTGGTGGTCACCAAAACAAAGAGAGGAAGAATTTACCTTAAAAAAAAATGGGAGGGGACACACACAGACTAACAGAAACTTGACAGAGGTTCTAACCCTTCCCTACTCTATTCAAAATAAAAACTGGCTTTAGGTACACTTGGATAGTCTTCAGCTTTCGTGTGATCACAGTATTGTAGCTAACAGTGATCACATGATCTGGTCTGACCGATTCTATAGCGTTAGTGGGGACAGATGCGGTTAGCGGCAGCCAGGTTTCCCAACTAGCAATCAGACAAACGTTTTAGCTAGCTGTTAAAGTGATATTGTAAATTTATGTACCCTCAGCATAGGGCATCATCCTGGGGAATGTTTATCTATGGATTCTGGGTGAGATAAAAGTTAGATATAGTATTAGTAAGTTATTTAAAAAAAAAAAGAAAAAAAAAAGCGATGGAAAGAGAACGTGTCAGTCTCTCAAAATGTTGTACCTGAAGAAAAGATCCATTATAAATCACCCTCTCCAGGGGCCATGTAAAACTGGTTGGCAGTCAACTCTTCCATAGGTTTTGGGGTGCCTGTGTCCCCTGCCACAGACTGCAGCTTCTTTTTCCACCCCCTACATCACTGCAGCACTCAGCAATGATGTAGGGGGTCAGAGGAGATTTATAGGCACCCAACACTCCAATAGAGTCTAATGATGGAGGCTCAAGTGCTGGGCCACCAAAGAGGTTTTCTCTTGCAGGAAACTTCGGGGTACAATTTGTTTGAGACCGATGAATTATCTTTTATTAATTTAGTCTTAGAAATCTGCACCAAATGTCTACGACACTATTTAACCCGCTTTGTTTTCAGTTAAAGGTTTTCATGCTGCTGTTGAAATAAATTTGTATTGATTTCTTCAGAACAGTCACAGGTCTGTCAACTGCCCTATTTGTTACAGCAACCATTAGCTCAGACCTGGATGAGCTCAGACCTAGATGTCACCAAGTATGAGGAAGTGTGCATGTTCTAATACTTCCAATTTCAGCATTGGCCAACGGTTACAACTTTAACAGGGCTGTTCAAAACAATGTACGTTAAACACACGTTGCATTACTGTGTCCTTTAGATGCTATGGGTTTGGTTTTCTAAAAGGAGTAGAGGCTGTTGACTAAAGGTGCCCATACACCTTACAATTATCTGCAGATATTCTATGGTTAGATGGAAAAAGTGCAACGGATTCCTCCATCTACACTAAACTGTGTGGATGGAGGAATCTCCCACTGGGCCAAGCTTTAGTATCTTGCTAGTCGGCACCGCTGGCTGTCAAAACACCTGAACAATGCCTGCATCCAATCAGATTGTTCAGGGGTTTTGACAGCCAGAGGGGCCCAATTAGCAAGATACTGAAGCTTGGTCCAGTGGGAGATTCCTCCAGACACACAGTTTAGCGTAGATGGAGGAATCTGTTGCACTTTTTCCATCTGACCATAGAAAATCTGCAGATAATCTATAGGTGTATGGCCAGCTTTACACATATTGCCTGCTTGTTCTAGGATGCAACAGAAATCGTGCCTGGGAGGCATTAAACTCTGTTATCAGATGGACCTACACTCAGTGACAGAAGCTGCTGAACACAAGCTATGCCAAACAAACTTCAGACACATGAAACAATATTGGTGGCAGGAAAATACAACAAGTTACTGCAATTTCATTAGCAGAATATAACAAAATTGTTCATGTTCACTACACAAATGAAGTTGATAACATTTTAGTGTTTTACAAACAGAAGTGTAATCTGCCAATTCACAAACGGATACGGATTGGCATCTTTAACCACTTCAAGACCAGGTGTTTAGACCCCCTTCCTGGCCAGGCCATTTTTCAGTATTCAGCACTGCGGTACTTCAGCGGAGCCCGGGATCAGCGGGACAACGGCAGGGGGGGGACACCGATCGGCACCGCATACATGCGATCCCATGGCTCTAAAGCCGGCGGATCGCTTGTATGGTATCAGGCATCGCTGCCTGTTTTTTAAAAACGGCAATTTCCCGCTCGCCGGGGCGTGTCTGAGCGGACGTCTAAAGACGCCCGCTCAGATCTAGAGAGCTCCGGGCCGGCTGTTTTTCTACTACGGCCGGCCCGGAGGCAGTTAACGATCTAACCATTGACTGAAATCTTACTGTTATCAGCCAAGCAGGGATAAAATATTTTCTTTAAAGAATCAGAATGAAGTAAATGCACTAGAAAGGCAGATAAGGTGTAATGTTTATAAACAGTTCTGCAGCTACAGTAGATCCTAACAGCATTGGCACCTCTATAAAAAAATGGAGTACAGTTGGCCAAAACAAAGTTGGAATAATTTGAAATATGGCTTGGAAAGCAGCATCATTTTCCTATGTACCAACAGCAAACTATATAAATGCAATGTCACCATAATAGAAAACAAAAAAAAAAAAAGACAATATGGCAATAACTGTATGAAATTGTCTCTCTTACAGGCACTCTTTTGCCCTAAACCTCGCCCCCTCTTTCTCCCCAAGCAGATGTAGCCCACCTTCTCTCCTCCAAGTTTTATACTTACCTAGAACTTGCAGCATTGCTTACATGACTTAGCTGACTTTTTGACCTAATGTCCACGTTATATGTTCAGCTCACAGAAGCCAAACTACGCATGAGCAAACATCTGATTAATAAGTCAGCAGAGGAATGCACACAATGTCATGGGCCTGGGAGCAAAAGCTAGGTAAGTATAGCTATTTTGGGAAGGGGAAGGGAGGGTGAGCTACACTGGCTTTTGGAGGAGAGATTATGAATGCCATAAGGAACATTTTAAAGACAGACACTTCATTAATAACAAAAAAAAAAAAAAAAGCTAACTTAAATCTTTTTTTTTTTTTTTTAAGCCATTATACAGAACTTAAAGCTCTGGGGCCCAC